ACCAGTCATGCCGACGCCCATGTTACATATGGGGACCATTTTTACGTGTGTATAAATATATCAATATATTTATATTGCAAGAAAATTAGGGTTTATTAATTCCAATTATTTACTAATCACAAAACACCCTACAGTATCTAACACATTACATACGATATCTGTTTTTTAAAGAGAAAAACCAGACAAAAAACCGTGCACATGCATATATAATTAAGATCAACTATATATATATATATATATTCTACTTTTTTAAAACAAGTCCTTGAAGTTTTGTAAAATAAGTTTGCATGTAGTTTGAAAAGAGAGCAAAATTTCAAAGTCCAAACCAGAAAATAGGGGCCAATGATCTCTAGGTTCAGCATAACAGTTAGGGCCATTAATATGATCATTCTAAGAAGTGAAAGAGAATGTTTTGTTATTTGTGTATCGAAGGAAGGTGATGTCCATTATTATGGAGTGATTGGAAAGTATATAGATTAAATAAAATGTTAATCAATAATCATAGGTGGAGACAACCTGGAGAAGCTAATTAATTAGGTTTAGTCTAAGACACAAAGGAGTTAAAAATGGGAAAATCTGGTCCCACACTTTTGTCTTAATTTGTATAATAGTAGTGAGGTTTGTCTTTACAAGTTAAAGTCATGTTTCATCAATAATAAAACGAGACAAATTATGATTTGAAGATCCAATCAAAAATGGAAATTTTCTGATTGATGTATACTTGAAAATTACTTGTTAAGAATTCATTAAGTGCTCTCAGTTATAAAATAGAATAGTGTTCTTCCTAGAGATAATGGATTCGAATAACTGCATCTACAAAATAATTAATTTTTTAGAGGATGAAACAAGTTACAACGTTTTAGTGCTGCTAGTAATATAGGGTTGAACGTTTCTTTTCATCAATATTACGAACAAACAGACACTTCCAAAAGTCCAGTCAAATAGATTTAATTTTGAGCTTCTTAATTTTCAGATTTTTCCTAAAAGTATTTTTAGGTACAAAGCTTAGAGGAAAACGTTTACTTAAAGCAACTATTCTTTTACTGCAACAAAGCTTTCGTGTAATTTCAAGTCGTTGGTAATAAATTGCATAATGATATTCAATATTGTGAACCTATAGAAGAATCAATGGGAAGCTCCACCCTAGGAATAGGCCAAGGGGCAAAAAACACCGCCAGTTGGAGCTCAGCCATACCTTTTTTCTAAGGCAGGTAATGGTGGGGAAGCTTGTGATCATTATTTACGCACAATGGGATATATAGCTTACATTCCATTTTAAAAAGTTTTATTCTTTTTGAGAAATTAAATTTCCATGCTAATATTGAACTTCACTGCAAGCTGAAAAATCTCTGGCATTGTATCACCACTCCTCTGCTGTTTCAAGTACGGAAACATCCTTCGGTTTTAGAGGCTGCTGGGACCACAGTTGATTGCATTTTGAAGGGCACTATCTGTTCATATAGATCAAAACATCATTGTTAAAGACACCGATGACAGTTTTCAAAAGAACATATATCCAAGAAAACTTAATCAGATGCAGTTCTCAAAGAAGATGAGATATCCAATAGGCGCTACATTTGCAAGAGGAAATAGGATTCCGGAAAAGATTATTATCCTGATAATGATCTTTTCTGAACAAAAATCCCTCAAGGTTTTTAGTTTTTGACAAAATTCTGACTTAAATTTTATTCATACTAACTGTCCTCTTTATAAATAGTTTACTTGAAATAAAAGACTTAAACTGAAGATAAACATGACAAAAAGGACTCCTAACTCTTAAGGAAACAACTAACTAGAAAATTATAAACATATATATATAAGAAAGACTACTAATTCATAGGGGTAGTCCTAAACTAAAAGGGACATAACAGCTTTGTGGGTTTCTTCCTTCTCCCCCTAAGCTGGGATTACAGTTCACAATACTGTAAAGCATTGTATTGCAACAATGTTCACAACACTGCAGCCTATTTTACTTATAAGGGTTTTTGTCATTAACTTACACAACTGATATTATCGCATTTATTTATATTCTTGGTCTTGGAAACTATGAGAGACATCCTTTTCAGCAGCATATTTGTTCCTTTATTGCTCTCTATTTATGTGCGCATAGGCTTATCCATATATTCTACATCAAATCTACAAACAAGAATGATAAATTTCACTTCTATTGACATCATTTAAATCACTCGTTGTGTATCTTGTAAAAGCATTCCAAGATGGAAGGCTTCATTTTTCTTAACCAGATTACCTTCATCTAATAAGTCAAACAATTCATGGTAAAAGATTTTGTTCTTCAACATCATCAAAATGACAAAGGAGAAAGAAAGAAGAACTCCAAATCATTAAATGAAACCCTTTAACTTGAAATGAAGCCAATGTGCAAATGGAAGAACTTTTATTGTAAAAATTTTCCATTGACATCAAAGCTAAATTATGTTTGTAGCATTATGAAGCTTCTTTCGTTTCAAATCTCATAAATGAAACTTCAGCAGGAAAATTTATACATTAATCAATTAATATTTGCTTGCTTACCAGTCAGTTTGAAGAATTTCATTTCTCAACCTTGCTAGAGATGCTGCACTTAGACTAGGTTCAGCGTCATTTGTATGAAAGAGAAAACAGAAAGCATCAAGTAAAACCAGACAAAATATATGAAGATAAACAAGGAAACCCCAATTTAATAGGAGGAAATATTCCAAATAAATAAGCTTGTTCAGTGCATAAATTAGACGAACCTGCATTATGATGGTCATAACAAAATAAGAGAACCATTCAGCAAGTTTTTTGGAAACAACGGTCACATATCCGACAGAAAAGACAATGTCGAGGCCACACACCAGCTCTAATTTTGACTTCTTATGATGCTATTGCAGCTCCAAGAGAATGATCCGCCTGACTTAACCTAAATCTCAGTATGTGAACCTATTGAGTGGCCTCAGTGGTAAAAGGAAATGTTGTTCTCTTTACAGGACCCGGGTTCGTACGTTGTCAATAGATTAATAAAAATTCTAAACATATACAACTTTGTAATCATTCCCATACTAATAAAAAAAATCTCAGCATGTGATCATAAAAACAGAACTCCTCAAGTTTAAACCTAGCAAGTATACAAAAATGGGAATTGAAGGGATGCATGCACATCAACGGTTCAGGGGATTCAGAGAAGCATGGAACAGAAAGTGAAATATTGCAAAACAGAGGCAACGTATTTAACTACCTGATATTTCTCCAGCCGCTTCCATATCATTCCTATTTTTAAAGGCTTCACTCAACCTTTCCCATTCACAGCAATCTGATGAAACTCTTAGTGGAAGAAAAAGTTTCAAATTGTTGTGAATGGAAAAAAGGGTAAGTGCAACTATCCGACTTTACCTTAATCTGTACACAGTAGCTTCGCATGCTTTCTCTAAGCATGCTAATCCGTACAAACCTTTTCGCTAATTAAATATGGCATATCAGATCTTGGACCTACATCATAAAACCATCTTAATGAGACTCTTTTGTCATGCATATCTAAAACAAAAAAAATTAAGAAAGTCTTCGCGGAGACACTTCATAGTTATTACTTATTACAAGTTTCGGCAATAACGATTGAATTTGAGATAAAAGTTCGATTTTTACTAAAATTTTTGCTTTAAATTAAAAACCCAGATAGAAATCGCATTCAAAATTGAAAAAAAAGTTGAAAATTTTAAGCTTGTAATAACCAATAGAGATGGATTAAAAGAAGAGTTTAACAAAAATACTTACAAAAGAGATAGGCCGATTGATTATCCACTACGAGAGAGAGAGAGGAACTGAGAATACTAGTAGTAGTGTGGACTCTCAACGAGCTTGAAAGATAGCGCTCGGTCAACAAGAGATGGGACATTGACACTAGTGCTCAGAGTTGAGGGTATTCAGGCCATTCGCTCGGTTTATTGAAGTAGTGAGCTTGGGCCGTAATTTGAAAGGCTGAAAGAATGCTTCCAGGGCTAGAACTAAGTCAACCAGACTGCTAGGGTTTAAAGTTATAGCCTTTAACTTGCAACCTATAAATTCTTCTTTGGTGCTCTTGTTTTAAGTTCGAATTACAGAGGGAGTCCCAACAAGCCGCCTCTGCATAGCTGTTTTGTTTAGCTTTGTGCTGTCTTTTTTTTTCATGCTTATGTTGTTAGCTTTGATTACTATTTCTGATTTTAACACTGCCAAGTATTTTGTGTTGTTTTTTCTTAAAGTGGTCGGAGAATGAGATGATGAACTGAATGTTTCCCTATTGGTTTGATAGCCGTGATGATGGCAGCTATAATGTATTAGCTCTATCTGATCATTCTCTTTACCTTTTCAAATTGATAGTCTTTTTGCTATTTTTTTTAACAAATTTTGAAATTTTGCTATCTTTCTCCCTATTTCAAGATTGTCCTGCTTGCTTTTGGATCCCAAAAATCAAAACAAAACAGAAAAAAACCCTCTCTTTTAAAGTATTATCTACTTTGTTTGCATTGTTAATTTCATTTGTTTGCAACTTTGAAAGTAATTTTAAGTGTTGGGAGAATGAAATGATGACTGTGATATTGTTTCCCTATTGGTTTGATTGCCATAATGATGTCATCTTTAGTATTAGCTCTATCTGATCATTCTCTTAAAATATATGATTTAGCTGATATGTGAAGTAATTTAAGCATGCTGATTTTTTCCCTCCAGATTCCAAGGATTCGCCTTGATTAATCCGGATCGACCCGCGTCTCACACTTGATTTTAGTGACTGAGTCTCCAGCAGTAATTTTCTGCATGCATATTAAGATCTTACTTAAACGATATCAAGCTACTTACCCATTTGAACCAACCCCTATTGATAAGCATGTTGACTTTAATAATTCAATATATGGTTCGAGTAGTTTCAACTCTTAATTTAGTGTGAAATTGATTGGGGCCATGGCATCTAATTAGGCCATCTTATTGTTATCTTAAACTAGGGACAAAATCTTATTTTCCCAAGAAAATTAATCAATTACCATGAATTAGGATTCCAGCTTGAAATGAGATAGGGCAAACCTGCCATCAAGTCCTTTAGACTGATAATGGGTTATATATTCAAAACCAGTAGTTTCTCTGTACTTGGGAGGATTTTCTTCAGACAAAGGCTCTTTTATCGGCCCATATCGCCTCTCACCAACGACAGAACTCGGAAAGAAAAATGTTGGAACCGAAACCCGGGAATCTCGTCCGGCCAGTATCCTATGCTCCACACGTTTGAACTTATCATTGGTGATCAGCTTTTGTCACAAAAAAATGGACATGGTTAACACATTCATGAACAAATATATTAGATTGCTTGTATTTTCTGGCTGTTTTTAGCTATATTAATGAATTTACACTTGGATAGAAAAAGGTGGTCCTGGAATACCTGCATTAGGTCTCCTATATTTGCAATTACAGCTCCTTTAACAGTTGGTACATCCATGATCCACCCACTGATTCTGGTGAAGAACTTGGAGATCACCATTCTCATCTTGTATCAATAATGTCAAGAAATTCGGGTCTGCATGTTTTCTCAAGAAGAATGTCAATTCTGGTTCAGGACAAGCAGGGTAATACGTGCAAGAAATTGTAGCAGATTTTAGGCGCTCGATTTTTTCGAGGAAGTAGGGGGCGAGACCAAGTGCCTCCGAAAGCAATTCAGCTATAGTCTCCTTAAGTTGTGTTATGTGTTTCAGGAACTTGGTTATTGCGTCCCTGTACGTACAAGAATTCTTATGCAGTTTTATTTAATATATTAAGAAGGGAAAGACTTGACTGGCAAAACGTCCCTCACCTGCAAACTTGAGGGAATTGTTCCTTGTCAAGTTGTTCAACGTGATTTAACGCTAAAATGTCCCTCCATTGTGCCACCTCCGATGAACTGAAATATCCGTTGCTGTTGAACCTGACCTTTCTTTCACCATCGAACGAGTACCACGGCGCTTTCGCCTCCGGCATGCGCCGTCCAACATAGTTTCTTGTATGGAAACCGGGATCCCGTTGATCACATGGAAGAAACCCCATGTTTGAGCTGCTTCACGTAAGTTGCCGACTATCTCCGTTCGCTCACCAGTTTCTAAGCCTTTTAAGTCTATTACAGAAACCTGGAGATGACCACTGCAAGTGGTTTCCGATTGTGATTCAATTTGGTCATGTTTTGGATCGATGAAGATTCTGGGGGGACCTTGACAATTCCAGTATCCACAAGCCCTTTCACTCCAGCTTTTGTATCAAGGATAAAGTCATTATTATTTTTTGGATAGTTTGAGGTGATTACAAGATGGTATATGTTCATAATATTTCTTAGTTGTTGATAACATACACAAATCTTACGAACGTAATTACTCAAATCCTGTTTCCTCTAAGGAGAACAACACTCCTTATCACCGAGACTGTTCAATGAGTTCATCAGGTTGGAACCAAGTGTAATCTCAAACGCATTTCATTTGCCACACTAATTCTATTTTACATGCTATAATTTAACATGATGTGATCCAAAAAACTCGGGAGAAATTACGAGTGAGCTTATCATATATGACTTGGATCTTACTAATGTTACTGCCCCACAGCCCCACTGATGCTGATGTTGCTGCAATATATAAAATATCTGGAAAGGTGAACCATTAAAAGTGAAAAGCAAGAATTTCCATTACACAAAATTCTAAAACAAGTTGAATCCGACGCATGAATGCATTGATTGCCGGTGCAGATCTCCTGTTGGCTTATAAACAAATTGAAAAGTTATAAAACACAGCCAAAATGCAGTGTTTGAAAACGACCAATAATCCTCTGCCCCACTTATCTGCGAATCTATAATTTCAACTTATTATTGCACTTAATGGGTGCTACAACTTGCAAAATTATTCCTTTTCTTTGTGGAAATAATAGCTAATCAGAGCAGCTAAAATGATACTGTTTTACACTTTGGTCACAGTCCTTGTGAATTTCAGCATCAGAATCTTAAAGACAGAAGCTTATTTTGTTGTTTTACAAAACACTTATTACTACTTCATTGGCATTATTATGGACACATTTCCTGGTCCATGAACAAGCAAGCCGAAATACGAAAAAAAACATACAGAAAACTTTAATTATCGTTGCAGAAAGCAAGGGGATATGGCATGGACATTCATAGCGAAGTATAAACCTCATCTAATAATGTTTCTAACTCAGATTGGTTATGCAGTTGTGTATTTCTTTACTGAAGCTGCCTTCAGTCGAGGGTTGAATCCGCATATATACGTCGCTTATCGGTTTTGCCTAGCTGCCTGCCTCATGTTTCCTTTTGCCTATGTTCTTGAGAGGTTTGTCATATACAGACACTTCTTTAAACTATGTTGTTCTGGATTACTATAAATTGCATTACAAATTCTTCTGTCTTGCAGAAAATCAAGGCCGAAACTTACGTTTCGACTGTTCTCGGAGTTCTTTTTGCTTTCTCTCATAGGGTAGAGTAAAATATGAATACTCCTCTAATTATGGTTATGCCAATTAGATTTTGAGTCATAATTTTTATATCTAATTTTACCCCCTTGATGATGAAAACAGAAACTGTGCTTCCCTTAACATGCACTTTGCAAGTCTGAAATACACTTCACCAACATTTGTTGCGACTCTATTCAACACTATTCCTTCCTGGACTTTTATAATTGCCATCATACTCAGGTAGAGTGTAAGACTCTATAATCTGTATATGAACATTTAAAAGAGATTTTCGTGAATGATATTCTTCGTGTTCGTGTTGCAGGATGGAGGTTGTTGATGTAAAGAACCCTCGTGGGATAGCTAAGATACTCGGAACCTTAACAGCCTTGGCAGGGGTAACTATCATCACTTTGTACAAAGGACCAGCAGTGCCGAGCTTGTGGTCTGCTCTGGTTCATATAAACAAACCTTCGGTTCATGAGAACTGGGTTAAAGGACCGATTCTAACGGTCGCGAGTTGTATAACATGGGCCATTTGGTACATTCTGCAGGTAATCAATTACCAATGCCAAGTACTAAAATTTTAAAGCACAAAATGAACTAAGGAATTGTCACTCCAAATGTTTAGGCAATTACTTTGAAGAAATATCCGACACAAGTGTCACTAGCAGCATGGATGAACGGCATCGGGGGAGCACAATCGGCAGTCTTGGCAGCTTGCTTGCAGCACAAGGCATCGGCATGGTCGATCAAAATGATGAGTGTTAATTTCTGGTCCATTACATATTCTGTAAGTAATAAAAACAGTTTAAATCCACATTTATTCACAAACCATGTCCTCAGCCTGATATGATGAAAATCGAATGCCAGGGAATATGCTCTGCAATTTTCGTTTGCCTGCAAATTTGGTGCATGAAAGAGAAAGGACCGGTGTTCGTCGCCATGTTTAACTCTCTTCAAACGGTGATGGTGGTGGTTCTAGCATATTTTGTTCTTGGTGAAAGACTATACACAGGCAGGTAATTAAGATGCAAAACACAATGTTCTCACTTTAAAAATTAAAAAAGATCTATAGAGAAACTTCCGACTTATACTTAATCATTCAGCATTGTTGGTGGATTCATGGTTATCATTGGCCTATACCTGCTGTTGTGGGGCAAGAATCGAGAACCGTCTTCAAACAAGAACCAAGAACAGTGTTCTTCACATTGTAATGAGATAATGGTTGCTGATAAGGAGACAACTTCAGTGGGGGAAAGTGGAACCGCCATGGTCCATGGAGCAAATATAAAAATAAAGTAACTTCCGGCAAACGAGGAAGATATGCCATAGAAAATCAACTTGATTTACCTTTTTACTCAGATAGTAATAATCATTAGCTGGGTAGTGTTCCAACTTTTCAATATCATTCTAGTCCATTTTCACGGTAGTTTTGTTGTGCAGAGGGGGAATTTGCTAATTCGTTTTAATCTAAAATGTTATCTTATCTATTCTAAATTAATAATAATTTCAGTTATGATCGAGAATGTTATATTATATGGATTTTAACCTAAAATAATATATTGTCTATTCTAGAAAGTTACACGACCGATTATAGTTTCAGTTACAACTGAGAATATCACATGAGTTTATTGATAATAATTTTTTAAATTACAACCAGAATGGCTATACAATTTACGCGATTTGTAACGGAGAAAAAAAAATGACCCTGCTGTACAATCGGCATTATTCTTGGCACACCACAATTCACATCGAAAGGTGACCTAAAAGCATTGCTAAACATGTTCTGGTGGCTAATCTGCCTGATGTAACAGATTTTGTTTTTCTTTACCATGTTTCGTTGGAGTCGTGTTTATGCATTATAGGCTTTCCCCCATATGTAATGGAAAAGTAGATTACTTGGACTAAAATGTTTTGTCTGTTCCCCAAATTTTCGATCTTTTTTTGTACATATTTGTACTTTTCAACCTGATTTCACGTACAGACAAGTATAATGATCACTAGCTACAAAACTAGGATACCTGATTAATTTTGTTATGCATGTGATAGCTTCCGGATGGCCAAATCTACTTTAGGTCCGGTGGCCGTACATGTTAGTTATATGTATATTATACAAGCTTTAAATCCCCTAGACAAAATTACTTTAAACTCCACACCTAATTGTTGGACAAATGTTAGTTAATATGGGGTAAATAGGTCACTAATGTTTGTATAAGTTTTTGTTTTCATTTCTAGTGTTTGAAAAGTTACATTATGATCGCTAATACTATCGATTCCTCATAAAATGACCACTGTGTCGTCAAATCCCGTTAAAAGCATGACCTTGTACATTAATAAAATAGTAATATCAAGTTTTATCCTTAAATTATTATTAGAGTGGGCATATATATATATATATAGTAAAACCCTTGAACGAGTCTAGTTTATTACTCATTTACACTTTGATTTCTTCATATTTGGTTTTAAAGGCGTTGAAGCTTCAAATTTTGTATCAATGTCACATTTGCTTAACATCAACTAATATTTACATATTAGAGTTTATATACATATGTTGGTTTCACTGTCCTCAGCTATCAACTCAGATACAATTCCACACAATAACACATATGATGGGAACTAGACACCCAATATCACATAATATTAGTTGCATAGGTAGGGAATCTCTATATCACATAGCATCGATAATGATCCCCTCCACACGAGTATATGTGGATACCCAATCTCACTAGCATCGAATATAACGATGAAAATTCGATTTCACGTAGCCTTGATAATAATTCCCACTAAAGTCTCGAGATGAGGTTGTCGATTTCACATAACATCGGATTAAGCATGTAAAACAATACAACACACATTTAGGCTCGTAACCTCATAATCATATTTACCACATTAACCACACATAGGCCACAACACTATTATTGATTCATAACGATCGAGTAGGGACATTTTCTCTCACTTCAGACAAAATCTTATTTTCACATCTAGAATAGATTGAGGAATTGTCTTTCAAATGGAGACTCGTGCAATACGACCACAAGTGGGGCAACAAGAGGAGCCATATATGCCCTCGGGATAGCATCTACAATCTCTAGGGATGTAGTGGTCAGATCCCTGTAAAATGGTTGTCTCTTTAACCCCTACATCAATCGAAACCTCACGATCTTTGGTGTTCGATACGGACTCATTACTCACGTTATTAGGTTGAGAGGCATGACTTTCAACCATTCCTTCTGGACTACACTCAGAATCATCGACCATCACAATTTTTCTATACAAATATACAATAAAGGAGAGGAAGCATCATCATAATGTTAAGCTTAAGGAGTACACTTCACAACCTAGGGGAACATATTTATTGTCACCTCACTATGATTGACCAACTTTTCCTAGGACCGACTGAGCCTAAACTTTGATACCACTATAATGTAACACTCCAAATCTGATTATTGTATAATAGGTCTAAAGTGTCATGTTGAGCTACGAAATAACCGTAAAATTTCAAATCTTTTCTTTTCAAATGTAAACTCGTTTCATAACTTAAACATTTAAAACAATTCAAATAGTTTGAGGGGTTAGACATTTGTATTTCTTAGATATGATTGGAGAGTTAGACATCGTATCCAGGTTGCTAAATCGAAATACACTCGAGAGGTTAGATTTTCCATCCATCCAATTACATATTTTTAAATATTCAACTTTCTTTTAATTTTTTAATTTTAATTATTATTCTTAAATGTGCCCTTTTATTTTATGGAGACATCTGAGAATTTTTTATTTCCAGTCCCTGTACGTCTTATTTGGATGTTCAATCAATTCACCGTAAGAGTTAAAACAATCCAAACTTTCCCATATTTATCAAATATGTATATTATGTATCCCAAAGGTATCTATGTATGGTGAAAAAGAATTTTATATCGTTTTCAGAAATAGTAACAAGATGCCTTACCCGCTTTGTATATAAGCCAAGAGAAATAGGCGAAAGGATATAGTTACACAAGCAAAAAGATATGGCATACACATTGATGGCCAACTTTACAAGATACAGGCATCATCTAAGCATGGTTCTAGTCCAAATTCTGTCCGCAATTGTGTATTTCATTACAGAAGCTGCCTTCAATGAAGGGCTAAACACTTATGTCTACGTCAGTTATCGATTTATCCTCGCCGGCTTGTTGATGTTTCCGGTCGCTTATTTCATAGAAAGGTTCGGCACAAACGCAGAATGAAACTAGGATCTCTTAGCTTAATCTTTTTAATTAGCAAGGGAAGATTCACTGCCTAATTTGTTCAACTTTTTTTTTTTGTGTCTGCAGAAAATCCAGACCAAAGATGACATTAGTAATGTTTTTGGAGATATTTGTGGTTTCTCTCTTCGGGTAGGCAATATATAGCTACACTTTTGACTTGAATTAATGCTAATGAAAATTCAAAAGGATTTTGTTCATATTTCTCCCTCACCATAAAACAGGATATGTTTAACCTTCATCATGTTCTTCATAAGTATGAGATGCACTTCTCCGACATTCGTCTCGGCCGTGTACAACACCGTGTCGTCTTTGACGTTTTTGATCGCCATCTTGTTCAGGTTCGAGACGAGGAATCTATTAAGTATTCCTTAAAAGTTTATGAACATATTAAGGACGTTTCATGAACAATATTGTTCTGTTCATGATCTTGATGCAGGATGGAGGTTGTTGATGTAAGGAGTCATCGTGGGATGGCGAAAGTCCTTGGAACCTTAATATCATTAGTTGGGGTCACCATCATCACTTTATACAAAGGACCAGCACTGCAAAATATGTGGGGCACTCCAATTCACATGAAAAGACTTTCTATTCATGAAAATTGGATTAAAGGGTCAATCCTTACAATTGCTAGCTGCATAACCTTGTCTTCATGGTACATTATGCAGGTAAACCTAAAATTTGGTTTTTATAGTTCTCTGTCAACTTTTATGTTAGTGTATTTTTTAAAAGCACGCAATCCTTCGCAGACATTTACCATGAGGAAATATCCAGCAGAACTGTCACTTACAGCATGGATTAGCTTCATCGGGGGAGCACAATCGGCTGTTTTCACGGTGTCAGTACAACATAAACCGGGTGTTTGGTTTATCAACATGCTGGGAATCGATTTCTGGGCCATTACTTATTGTGTAAGTAACTTCATATGTCATACCATATCTGTTTTGTTTTGTTTTTTTCAAAAACAAGTACCAAGCTCTAGTAGGAAGAAAAATATTGCAGGGAATCATAGGATCCGGTCTCCTCATCTTCATTCAGTTGTGGTGCATGAAGGAGAAAGGACCAGTCTTTGTGTCCATGTTTAATCCTCTTCAAACGGTCGTAGTTGCAGTTCTAGCATACTTCGTCTTCGGTGAAAAACTGTATGCGGGCAGGTAAGAAGTGAAAAATTCGAAATGTCGAAGCAAATCACTGCTATGGATCATATGCTCATCAGTTTTTTGTTTCAGCATACTAGGTGGAGTCACTGTTATCATCGGCTTATACTTGCTGTTATGGGGCAAAGAAAAAGATGAATCTTACACCGAGAGCCGAGAGCTGCCGTCGTCGCATTCCGTGGAGTTGAAGGTAACCAACAAGGAGGAGATAGCTTCAGCACTAAAAGTGGAACCATGAAGGAACATCAGAGAATATATCAGAATTGGCGTTTAGGAGAATAAAAATTGATTTTTCAATGATGGATCGCAAAATTGTATAGGAATTACTATTCTGTGGGGTTGAGTCTGTCAACAAAATCTGTAAACCAATCAATTTCTGCTAAAAATGAACGGTATTTAACTTATTAATCTACTTCTCCAACTTGCTAAAAATCATCCAGATATTCCTTCACTTGCCTACGCAAAAATGATTCTTGAACAATAAAAAACTTATCTTTGCAAGATGAGATATCTCATATAGCTATGAACAGATGATGCTAAGATGCTGTGTGTCTCTTGTCCAGTCAATTTCAATGGAGTTTAGGGTCAAAATCCCTGCATTCAGTACGGATGGGAAATAAATTATGGTACGCTCATTAAACAAGTTGTTTGATTTATTCTCCATACAACAAGATTCCAAGCTTTTGACAATATTCGGCTAGGCTGAAAAGTAGTAAAAAAAATCCTGAATATGTTTAGTCAAGGGACATATATGCTCTTTTCAATATTCTCCATTCCACTTTTGTGCGGTCTGCTGTAAGTTTTCTGCATCAGAAATTTCATAGATCATAAGAACATGATGCCTCGCCATACCGAGACCCGCCTCTAATCCAGCAAAGTATTGTCCATTTCGACTCAAAAACCTCGAAAGTATGAAAATATCAAGGAGGGTGATATTTGCAATATATATGCCACACCTGAGCATGGTTCTAGCACAGATAAGTTATACAATTCTGTATTTCATAGTGGAAGCTTCATTCAATCAGGGGCTAAATCCCCATGTTTATATTACTTACCGGTACATCATCCCCCGGCTTGGCGATGTCTCCTTTCGCATATTTCATCAAAGGTTGATCCGAAATGTTCCTGTACAGTTGTTATTGTTATTTATAGGATGGTTGTGGGTTGCCTAACTGATGCCTTTCTTTATTCTGCAGAAAATCAAGGCCAAAGATGACACTTGCGCTGTATTTGGAGATATTTTTGCTGTCTCTCATAGGGTAAGATAAAGAGTAGTAGGCAGTACATATTCCAAAAGCTTGAATTTTCACCATAAATTTAGTTCTTATTCCTTTAATGGAAAGACAGAGTCGGGTTAACGATTAACATGTACTTTGCAAGCTTGAGGTACACTTCTCCAACATTCGTTGCATCTGCGGTCAACACTGTTTCTTCTTTAACCTTCGTCGTAGCCATCATTCTCAGGTTGATTGATGTTTGATAAGACTGGTGATTCCAAATGAACCATTTTTCTGGGGTTTTTTAACATGAAAATATCTTATTTGCTGCATGAATAGGATGGAGGTTGTCGATGATTGGCTAAATTTGCAGGGACTTTAACGTCATTGGCGGGGGTCAGCATTATCACTTTGTACAAAGGATCTGAATTTCGAAGCTTGTGGGCTGCTCCGGTTCACCTAAAAAGGGTATCTTCTGTTCAGGAGAATTGGGTTAAAGGTTCGATCTTGACTGTTGCTAGCTGTATATCACTTAAACTGGTTTTCACTCGGTTCTTATTTGCCCAGAAAAAAAAAAGTTGGATTGCAAATGAAAATGACAGGTCTACAATAACTTTTTTTTAATAATCAATGATAAATTATTAATACAAGTAATACAATTTTATTATTTTCATAAAATTTAATTTAGCAATAAATGATATTCTTAATATTGCTTTGAAAAAGGTCTTATATTTCTATTTTAACAATGAATGTATCGATTATAATATAAAATACCTAAAATTAAATGTTTCATATTATAAAATACTAATATAAATTATTATTATAATATTTTAAAATATTTTAAAATATTTTTATGATTAATGTAATATCAATATTAAAATGATACTTTTAAATAATATTATTAACATTTAAATTTCATCAAATTATATGTTTAAACTTATATTATTAACAATCAAGTGAATCTTGGAAACAATATTGTTAGGAGAAGAAATCATAAACATCAAACATGAATAGTAAAATAGATATAAGAAGAAGAAAAAATAAACTTGTTACATCAAAATGTGAACTTTGTAGGCAGTTGCTTTGAAGAAATATCCTGCTCAACTGTCACTAAGGCGCTGGATCAACTGTATGGGGGCCGTGCAATCTGCTGTGTACGCAGTGTTTGTAGAGCGCAGACCGACAGCATGGTTGATCAAGATGTTAAGTATCCAATTCTGGGCCGTTACATATTCTGTATGCTGTGATATATTTGTCTTCCTCCAGTTATGGTGCAATAAAAAGAAAGGGCCAGTCTTTGTCAGTGTTTAGTCCCCTTTCAACAGTTATGGTTGCTTTCTCTGCATACTTTATTGTGGGTGAAAAACTACACGTCGGCAGGTAAAAACATGACTTACCACCAAATCGTCATATTATCTCTAGAAAGCACTTATTCTTTTCTTTTTTTTTACCATTCAACATCCTGGGAGGAGCCATTGCCATCATCGGTTTATACTTGCTACTGTGGGGAAAGGAAAAAGATCAGACAGACATCAAGAATCAAGACCAACAGCAATCTTCTTCACATTGTCATGTTGTGGTAAAGGTGCCAGAGGAGGGTTCGAATTCGCGGGAAGCGGAAGTACCCTAAAAACAAGCCCGTATTTATTCGAATGAAAGAACTTGAATCATCTCAAATAATTAGCTGGCTGGAAAATAACACACTGGCACCTCATTTCCGTTTTATTGCTAATTTGGTAGATTGCAACACAGTTCAAAAGGAGTCAAGGGAAGCGCTTATATTAACATGGCGGATCAGAGTCAATAGTAGCTTTCATCTTAGCATCACATACCATTTAAATACATAAATATGGTTATACATGCATCTATTTTGTTTACAAAAACTGAACCTTGACATAAACTTCAAAGTTCAAACTCCAGGTGTCGCTATGAATAATTTAATGAAACAGGGCGCTGATTATTACTCATTTTCAACCTATTTTGCCTCTTGGAGACGTTTTCGAATTGACTCTGCGCTTGACACTTTATTGATGCTGCAAATAATTGGCAAATACCAATTAGAAGAATTTTCTTAAAAACTCTACATGTTTCTAATAAAACATTTTATGTGCTGAATGCCAAATGAGAGTAAAAAAAATTGAGACTCACCAAACAAGTAAATCCCCAGCAGAGGCCATCTTTTCATATATCCATTCTGGAGCCAGCTCTTGCAACAGTTTTAACTGTTCTTCAACTTCTCCTGTGAAAGCAGTTCTGCTAATGTTTTCGTTATCCACCAAACTAAATATAATGAGGTGCTAACTGTTTAGCAAAAAGGCTTACCTCTATCAGCAATATCACAATGGCCAGCAATTAGTTTGTGCATTAGCTCCTCTTTGGTAATAACCGAGCGCTTTATGGACTGGAATAGATAATGGACCATGTTGAAGAGCTTAGGCAGGCAGGCAATCATTCGTTGTCGTCTCTTTGCTTGTGAGATTGCTGGATCTCGCTCTTCCATTGCTTTCCTCTCTTTCTCCTTTATCTGCAAGGATAATAAAGGGTTACCTATGCATTTTACTCGTGCAATCAAGGCCAAACCCTTACAATTCCATAACTGACTTTATGCTAAATGATGCCGATAAATCTTACGAGTAAGACTGTTGGGAATATTCGGATAGGAAAGGCGGATAGGCACATTTTCAGATGGATTTAGTTACTAAACTATGCAGAATTCATGATCTAGAAAAGATGGTGGCAAAAAGCAAGGGCTTACTGAATTCCGAAGGCTTTCAGGCAAAATAGAAAGAACATCATCTTCATCATTATCAACTGGTTTGCCTGCCATCTCATGCACTTCATCAACAATCTTCTCTTCCTTCATAGGGGCGTCAAATTTCAAGGACCTAGTTCGTGGTGGTCTGCGTACCAACTTGTTTGATGAAGTAGCAGAAACCTCATCTGGGCTCATGTAACATCTCTTCTGTGGTTGTAGAGTAGGTGTGGCAGTCATTAGCCTCGCAGGAGTTGAAGCGAATTTCACAGGAGTAGACTGAATACTGCCAGTTTTCATGGGGGACTCATCTGCAGTTTTCAACGGATTTAACTCTTTGACTGGAGTTGCAGGGAGGCAATTTTTGGGATGTGTTTCACTGGTAGTTGGTTTAGATAAAAACTTAGTTGGGGATGGTGTTGGAACAAAGGCAGTGTCACCACTGGAGGCAACTCTGTCAGCATGCATCTCTGGAACGTGAAAATTTGAACATTTTTGCACAGTTTCCTGAGCCTTGCTTGAGTTTTTCAGGGAAAAGCACTTTCTAAACGATCTAGATACATGTGATGCTACCACAGGTAGCTGGTCATTAACTTCACCAGGTGAAGTCTGGAGAGCTAGCTTCGAATTGGATTTTTTCCCATTGGATGGCGGCTGTGGTTTTACTTCCTCTTGAAAAACTTCACCTTGAACTGCTGACGCATCAGATGACAAAGGTCCTTTGATCATTTTCAGTTGCAAATTCTGCTTTGACCGATTGAATGGCTCTGGTAGATCTTCTTCTGGAATTTCATCACACTAGAAGCACAATAATTGAAGTCAACACAATATGGTACTTTTAAGAAAATAGTAAGAACATCATTAGGTAAGTTTTACCTTCCAGAGCACTAGAAATATATTTTTTATAGGAATAGTAGGTCTCATTAAAAACCTCCTTCTTAGTAGTCCTTTACCATGAGGTTAGAACGACTAGCGAAAGGAAAAGTATCTGAATATATTGATAATAAATAGATTACAAAAGACTTAAACCACTCCTTGTAGATACATAAAACTTAACCACACTCTAATAACCACACTCTAATAAGCACTAGAAATATATAAAAGAATATATTTCATCACTTCTCAAAAAATGTAGGCCTTCTAACAAGGTCACTGTATGTTTGCTTTAATTTAGACCTATTGTGAATATATTAAATGGTTATTGCTGAATAGAATTAGTCATTAGACTTTACTGATTATGGGTTTTCACTTCCAAATAAAGGTAAAAGCCTTCATCAGGGATGAATGAGATAAGACTTGTTACATTGTAATTAGGTGGCAATGCTACAAATGAAGGCAGGTGCTGAACTTTATCATGTAAATTTAGCCACCAGAACTCTAGAACGAAGCATCAAATTTTCATACCTAAGGCTCAAAAACTGATGGACAATATGTATTTGACATAACTAAAACTGTAATTCGATCAGGGACTTATTAGAACCAGCCATTGGACTTCATCAATTAAAGGTTTTTATGCCTCACAAACCAGTTTCTGGCAGTTCTAAATTAACAGCTTCATCATTTTGTGGTAATTTACGTTTTCTAATTAAAAGCACTTAGGGAATTTTAAGATCCAGACTGCTTATTTAAGCAGTTTTTTGTTTGCTAAGTTTCAAAAGGTAAGATTTGTAACAAAATGACAAGGCATGTTGGTTTCAATTTAAGGGCTATTACTCGCAGCTGCTTAGTGTCAATCCTCTACCTTCAACTGAGAGCAACCAACCAGAATTTCGGAACTAAAACCAAAACTAATGCTCCATACTTTCAGCATTGTCAATTGATATATTCGATGCATATCAGCAAACTAATTCTATGAAAAATCAAAGATTACTACTAAGCCAAAAATAATACCTCAGGGTGCGCCTTGCTATAGTCCACAAGCCGAGCTCGAAAAACCTTCCTTAACTTCTGATTCTTAGTCTCAGATTTTGAGTTGTCTCCAAAGTCAATCGCATCCAGAATGATGCTAACGTGGAGATCAGGTTTCATGCAACTAGTCATCTCATCAAACACAAGCACTCTTTTTATCTCAATCGCCTCCGGTAAAATATGCTTCAATTGGGCCAAGTGACCGTATGAAAACCTCCTATAAAACAACACCAAAACACAAAAGATAATACACAAATAAAACAAACAGCACAGAACTTAAAAAAGAAGAAAAAAAAGAAACCTATTAACTTAAAAACAAACAGCACAAAAGATAATTCACATGATTAAGGTGAAATTACCTATCAGTTAAACACTCTATTTTGGGGCTGATATTAGTAATAGTCGGCATTGGCCCCTTCGATCTTAGAAGCCGGATTGCAGAATCTAAGCTATTGTAAAACTCGCACAATATCTCGTACCTGTTCCAAAAAAACTTCAATCAATAACAACATAAAAAAAAGATATAGAATAAACTAGGGTCAGTATGACAAGCGGGCTTACTTTTCAGGGAGTTTATCGGGACGGCCACTGGAGGCTTTGGGTGGAGGAGATTCGGCGGGACAGGACAAGATCTGTTTTCGGGCCGACTTGATCTGGTCGGTCGGAGCATTGGATCGGGTCTGAGCCACTTGCCGGATCTCCTTGATAGAGAGGGCGACACCACGGTTCCGAGCACGGTTGGGGAGATGGGAGGAGTGCTTTTCTGGGGTTTTGGAAACGGGCGATTTCAAGGTCAGGCTCCGAGAAGCTTTGGATTTCAAAGGGGTTGATTTGAGAGAATCTGAGGAATCCATAGTTGAGAATTTACAGAGGATACAGTAAACAGGCGGAATAACGGAAGGGGCTTTAGATACGGCAGAGGAAGAAAGGGTGGGAGTATATAAGAGGGTTTTTTTCCTGGCGGGAAGGAACAGCTATATACACTTGACACGTGTATTCCCGCCAAATTGGTCCGTTTCGTCCGCGGATTCTTTCAGGGTTTGTTTGGAGAGTAGCGCAAACGGTTATGTTTTTTTTAATAGGGATATGATATTCCAATTCGACGCCGGTTTTCATTTATTAAAAATAGGCCCAATATGACCCAAATGAAATTAAAAGAGAGTTCCAACCCATTGGTCTTTACGTTCCAAAACAAAATTGGAAATAAATAAACTAGAAACAAGTTGCAGGCCAAGATTTTTGCCAGTGTACAAAAGTATTGGCTATCACCGAAACAAGAAAACGAAGACAAAAAGTCCTTTTACCTTCCTTCCTTCGGCTGCTCAAACAAATAACAAGAGGTATTACTCACCTTCACGTTTCCTTCATTCATTTTTAATTTTCAAAGAGAAGAAGAAGAAGAAGAGAAGCCCAAAGACACCCTTTTCTTTAACTTCTTAAATTGATTAACTTTGTAATTTTGAAAACGAATTTCTCAAAAATCAAATCTTTTGTTCTATTTCTTTCTCTTGGAGTCCTCTGGTGACTGTCAAGCTTCTGTTTTTTGTGGAATAATCTTTAGTGGGGGTTATAAGAGCTGCTCGTTGGTGGGTCGGAGGTAAATTCAATTACTTTTGTTTTTACTTATTTTCGTGAACGGATAATCTTGGCGTGATATTTGGTTCAACTTCTTTCTTTTTTTCTTCTGCGGAATTTATATGGATATGATTTGGGTTAACTTCGTCTTTTAAGCCGTTTTTTCAATCATATTTGACTTAAAATCCTCCAAGAATTACCTTCTTTCTTAGCATGCATAGAACTTTATTTGCCAAGAATGAGCACATATTCATTTATTTATGTTTTATGGTTTATTTATAATGGTTGTGCATGTAGCCGCTACTATTTGTGTTCAGGATCGCAATTAAGTTTCTTGGATCAAACTGCTGTAATTTGTAGCTTGTTGCCAGCTGGTTCTTCCAAGTGAAGATCGTAGTTTTGTTCCAACTTATGATTTACAGGTATTTGAACTTAGTTAATTACTGTAAGGATTGGGACAAATCTTTTTTGCTGATTTGTTTCTTCCATGTCTTGTTTTATTTGTTGTTTCATTAGTTGAAATTTATATTAAAATGATGTGTATTAAGTTTTGTGCACCTCATAATGTTGTATAGTCGTTTTGATGTACATTTTAATGGATTAGCTTTTGTTTTTCTTGTATCCCCCAACCCTCCCCACGCACACACACACATTATGTGCATGTGATCATGTGCATTCTTACTGTGTATATGAATTTGTATGATTTTCTTGTTATTGACAGAATTTTGCCATAAACATTTGAGTTTTGGGATGGACTGGCTGTTTTTCCCTGCCATCAAGATTTACAAATGATGATCGGTGGGCAAAAGGCTGCAAATTCTCTTGGCATATTTAAGTGGAGATGGGGTGGTGAATCCTCTTTGACAACAGGCTTACTGGGTGATGTGCCTCCTGAAATTGAGTTATCTAGCTATGGGAGAGTACCACCAAGTCCCAGTAGTGAGAGCCCTTCAGGGCTTCTTAATGGTGAGACTCTGAATGTGGAACCAATTGCTGACTTGGACTTGTTCTTTGAACGGCTCTATAGCTACTATTGTGAGAAAGGCCTTTGGTGCATCATTATTAAATGGATAGTTGAACTTCTGAGCCTTGGCTTTACCATATGCTTCTCGGGGTTTTTCTTATTGTTTGTTGATTGGAATGGTCTCCGAAATGCAAAGTGTGGGATGGATGCATTTGAGTCCGGAAGTAAGCAATGTGATCTTTCTGAGGAAGCTCTTCACCAACACCCATTAACCCCTTTAACACTTTCAAAAGCAATTATTGTTGGATATTTGGGACTATTTTCCATCTATTGGGTATTCTGTTTCTCGAGGTTTTTTGCACAATTGAAGGATACTCTAGGAATACGTTATTTTTATTATAACAGGTAAGTTTATATTTAATAAGTTACAAGATACGTTGGAAGTTTTAGTTTTGCATTCTGTACATTAGCAGTATCTTATAAATGTCTAAAGACTATTATTATATTTTAAAATTATATTTTGCAGTCTCCAAGTTACTGACAATGAAATTCAAACAATGCCATGGGCAACAATCCTCGAAAGGGTTGTCCGATTACAAATCTCACAGCAACTCTGTGTGGTCAAGGATCTTACTGCTCATGATGTGGTTATGCGATTGATGCGGAAGGAGAACTACTTGATTGGAATGCTTAATAAAGGAGTTCTTGCTTTTCCTATCTCAACCTGGGTTCCGGGTGCTGGTCCAACTGTCAAATTCGGCCTTGGTGGAATGCAACATCGTCTAATACTAACAAAGACACTTGAATGGACCTTAAATTGGTGTATACTGCAGAGCATGTTTGACCGGTATGTCTAATTTTCGATGGGCATTTGACTTTCTGCTTTGTGTGTGCTTCCCCTCGTAATTGTTGTAAAAAATATGGTTCCCACATGTATATTTTGCAAACTGATCTTTGGAAGTGTCATGATTTTCTAGTATCAGACTAATAATAAAATTACTTATTTCTTCATCTTTTAGTGCATAATATTTCATTTTCAATAATATTATACAATCCTTTTTCTGCAAAGAGGCATATCAAAATGCATTTTTGGCGTTGAGAGGGGCTGTTGTGGATATCTCTGAGTAAATGGCCCGTGTCTATGTGACTTTGACATTTTTTTAGTCAATGAATGATGTATTTTCTCTTTGCATCATCCTGTACATGGTTTCAGCATTAATAGCTGATTTTGGTACTGTAATTTTAAGAAACACTTATACTTCTCATTTTTCCTACAAAGTCTTTAACATCTGGTAGTTCTGGGTTTTTAATGGTTTAACCGATCCATTTTCTTTCTATGTTTAGGGAGACACAAATTTATGAAGTACTTCAAGTTCCAAAATGTTACTTGGAAATTAACATTGACAAAGATTGTGGTTTTGTTGATCTTTGTGGCTAAAATGATTTGCTATTAGTTTTTCTTTTTTGAAGAAAAGAAATAAAAAACTACTAAAATTTCGGGGTTTATGACCAACTTTTGGTATGCTTTTCCTTTTTACAGAAACTTCTGTGTTAGAAGGGACTTCATTTCTAATCCTAGAACATTGAAGAAGAGGCTCATGGTTGTCGGGCTTGCTATGCTTCTTCTCTCCCCGTTCCTTGTCATATTCATGCTGGTTTTTCTCTTCTTAAGACATGCTGAACAATTCTATAATCACCCAAGCACAGCTTCATCCCGGAGATGGTCAAATTTGGCAAAGTGGATGTTTAGGGAATTCAATGAGGTATCATCATCCCCCCTTCTAAGGATTGATCCACTACCTAACCTCGCAAGTTTGCTATTACGAATTAGAACTCTCAAGTGTTAGTCATTTGTTTGAAGTTACATTCTTTTATTTTTGGTTTAAAACCTACTGTGAAAAATAAATTATTACAATTGTTTCTTCAATTTGATATTTTTCACTTCTAGATTCTCTTGTTTTCACGTACTGTAATGCTGTATTTTTGCATATGCTGTTGCCTTTAACTTACAGGTTGACCATTTATTCAAACATCGGATTAATAGCAGTGTAATACATGCTTCTGAGTACCTAAAGCAATTCCCCTCACCAATTATTTCTATTGTCGCAAAGTTTATCTCATTTGTATCTGGCGGCTTTGCTGCTGTCTTGATCATCATTGCCTTTCTGGAAGAATCTGTGTTAGAGGGCCATGTAATGTTTTTGAACCTCCATCTTTGCAGAGTCTTCTATTTTTCTTTGTGTTTCATTTTAGTTACTTCTTTTTTGTTTTTGAATGTATAGATATTTGGTCGGAACTTGTTTTGGTATGCAGCTGTTCTTGGAACCATAACAGCTATTAGCCGGGCTGCTGTTACAGATGAACTTTTGGTCCTTGATCCACAAGGAGCAATGTCTATGGTGGTGCAGCATACACATTATATGCCAAAGAGATGGCGTGATAAAGAAAATACTGAAACAGTCCGAATAGAGTTTGAAAGTCTATTTCAGGTAATCCGCTCATGGTTCCTATTGTTGTTTAACCAGTAATATAGGAGTTTGCAACTCTAGGAATTCTTAAGGATTTTCAAATAACAAAATATAATTCTTCTGACTAATTTGCTGCACCAATTGCTGGCAACCATAATTCCTTGGCTCGCTATAATTTCTCTGGGCAGTGTTATTTGATAAGTGTTTTGGTTCTTTTTCTCTTTACTTCAGACTTTTTGAATTACTTTTTTACTCAGTTTACTTTTCTTCTTTTTATGTTGTGACGCAGTATACTGGAATAATGTTACTGGAGGAGATGGCCTCAATTTTCCTCACTCCATTCTTGCTTCTATTTGTTGTGCCAAGGGTTTTCTTTTTCGACATTATTTCTATTGTTGTCTTATACCTGACATCTTAGTTTTAGAACTAAATGCTGTGTTTATTTTGCAGCGTGTGGATGACATTTTGCAGTTCATTGCTGATTTTACAGTCGATGTTGAAGGTGTTGGTCACGTTTGCAGGTAGAGTGATTTTTTTTAGGCACCAGTTTGTTACTAGCTAATTCATGTGCAAATCAATTGAGATAATGTGTCGAATTATTCATTGTCTGCAGTTTTAGTGTCTTTGATTTCCAAAACCATGGAAATAGTAATTATGGCGCTCCACACAATGTGCCTCGTGATCGGAGGAGCTCCCAGGGGAAAATGGAGAAATCATTCTTGAGGTATGATTAAGTAAATTGAATTTCTGTACTTGCTCTGTCCTAACCTGCACATATTTTGCTTGGTGAATACTTTTTGGGAAATCCAAAATCACCTTAAATCTATTATTAGTATTCTATGTGATAAAAGCTGACAGCAACCTTTGAATATGAATGCTTACAATTATTTCTTGGCCGATTGCTTCGAATGCCTTCCTATCCTTCTAGAGTTATTGTCCTCAAAT